TGCCAACACTGAACTAAGAAAATGAAAATTGACATACATGACAAATTCAGTCCTCTAATTGAAGTTGTTCTAAAAGCCATACACAAGGAAGAGAAACTTTTCAACACTGTGATTTAAAAATTATTTGCTTAGTAATGTTTTGCAGAGAAATAAGTTAAATGAGTGTCAGCCAAGTGTGTAAAGAAGTGGGTGGAGAACTACTACTGTAGAATTCACTACTATAGAATCCTAATTTGTAAGATTCAAAAGATAATGGCAGTAATTTTCATTTCTGATAGACTAATTTTCCATCTTCTATTTCTTACTTGAATTTCTACTCCAGCACAATAGTGCAAAGCAAAGGAAGGTTAAAATGCACCTTATTTAAACTGCTAATGTTCATAATTACAGACAATGCTTTTCTAACTTTTTAATTGTTTTTGGAGACAGGGTCTCACTCTGTCACCCTGGCTAGAGCGCAGTGGCATCATCATAGCTCACTGCAACCTCAAACTCCTGGGCTCAAGTGATCCTCCTCTGCCTCAGCCCTCTTAGTAGCTAGGACTACAGGTCTGTGCCGTCACGCCCCGCTAATTCTTTTTTTTCTATTTTTGATACAGATGGGGGACTCCCTCTTGCTCAGGCTGCTCTTGAACTTCCGAGCTCAAGTGATCCTCCAGCCTCAGCTTCCCAGAGTGCTAGGGTTACAGGCATGAACCCCCACGCCCCAACTTTTCCAATACTTCTAAAATAAAGACGTCACTTTCCTTTTCTGCAAACTCAAAAAATGCCAATGAACTATCTTAAAATTTTTAAGTTCAAAATATTTTGAAAAATACAAATCTACTTAAAGGTACAATAGTAGATATACACACTGATTCAATATATCAGTACCACTAATTATTGACAAATTGTAAATCTTTATTTGTCATCTGTAAAATACAGATGATCCTACTCTCTTCCTTGGTGGATTGTTGCGTGTATACCTAGCGCCTTACACATGTCAATAAATGTTCCTTTCCTTTCCTTCTTTCATTTGTTTCAATGAGACTTACTCTTAATTGATATTTTAACATTAAACGTAGGGCTTCTTCAGATTAAGATACTTGGTAATATACAGCTTGACGTAAGAACTGCAAATAAACGATACTAGGTTTAATTTTTCAAGTTAAAAGGATTTCTTCACCTCATTTTGCCCAATGTACCAAACACCTTAAGTTCCTGAGGAACTTTGTTCTTTTGGCTAACAAAGTCAGAGCTTTAGCTCTTTTAAAACAAATTTCTATCTTGTTAGAATATGTTCAACACTTCATAAATCATTACAATTTTTCCAACAGTGTATCTTTTTCCCACTCAAGTGGGTCTTGGGCTATTGCACAACTTTAAGCACTACTAGTAAGGAAGCTCAGTTTGCCTCCACGCTACTTGGGAGAGCTGAAAACACCAAGGCGTGTCACTGCCTCTTCAGCTGTCAATGGTCCTCGTCACCTTCACCTTACTGGGTGAGGAAAATGAGACCCAGGAGAAGGAAGGGGCTTGCCTTAAGTCATCTCGTTCTTTCCTGGAATAACCAAGCAAGCGTCTGACAGCAGCTAAGTCCTGCCCCGAGGGCTATCGGAGAGGCCCCGCGGAGCATGGAAGGGACCTGTCCCTCTCCGGGGCGAAAATGAGACGCCCCTACCACTCAGGGCCACAGACAGGGGCCCTAGGCCCTAAAAGTGTGCCTTCCCGGGCATCCACAGCTGCTGCCCGCCGGTCCACCCAGAAGGAGGAGCCGCTACTCACCTGCGACTGGAGAGAACGCAATTCCCCGCTTAGCGTCAGCACCACACTCGGAGACCAAACTGCAAAGAGCGATGGCTGCCGAAGCCCCAGTTCATATCAGCTCCTTCCGGGCCGGCAGGTGCCTCACTAACGATGGTCGGCAGGACCACAGCGCCGCGCGGCCACAGTTCCGCCTCCTAGCGGTTCCGCCGCCAACTTCCCCGCGGAGAGAGCCGGCCTGCACTCCCTACCCTCAGCACCTGCACACGGCCTGCCTGGGTCAGCCCGCTCTCCCGCCTCCCCGCAGCCGTCCAGAGGGGTTTTAGGGGCCCGCCGGCCTAGAAGAGAAGGGAACATTTGTCCCTCGATTGGGGAAATTATCCTTGGCATCTGTTTTTTAAAAACACATTTTTAGGGCAGGGCGCGGTGGCTCGTCTGTAATCTGGAAGGCTGAGACGGGAGTTCGAGACGAGCTTGAATAAGACCCGCAGCCCCCTACAAAAAAAATGGAAAAAATTAGCCGGGCATGGTGGCACATGCTTGTAGTCCCAGCTACTCAGGAGGCTGAGGCAGAAGGATCGCTTGAGCCCAGGAGTTTGAGGTTGCTGTGAGCTAGGCTGACGCCACTGCACTCTAGCCCGGGCAACAGAGCCAGACTCTGTCTCAAAAAAAAATTTTTTTTTTATAGTACACGTGTTTCTCGAATTCATTAGTAATTTACAAAATGTAATGGTTACCTGTGTGCCACATAATGTGTTGGATGCTGGGTATTCAGCTTTAAATATGACTGTCTTGACTCCGGCGTTCTTTACTAATGGATTAACGTTAACTTCTTTAAATGTGTTTAATACTTGGGTGTGTTGAATGGAAATGTGAAATCAGTGCTTAGAAAACTGCTCTCACACCTAAGATTCTAGGTGACGGAGACAGAAAGAGGAGCTGTTTGGGAACTGAAGCTGAGGCTAGTTCATGGATTCCCAACAAAGCCTATCACTGGCTTTACTGGATCTCTCCCTTTTCGCTCCAGCCTCAGAAGTGCCTCACTCCATGAGCTCTCCCTTCGCACCTGGGTTTCCCTCTGCCAGAACCGCTTCTTCCCAGCTCTGCTCTCCACCCAGGTAACTCCTACACGTTCTTCAGGTCTCTCAGCTCAGATAGGCGACTCTCAAGACCTTCCTCCCACATTTGGTTGAGCCCTCTGTTACAGGTTTCCACGGCAACTGTACAATTTGCTTTATCATTGAAGTTACACAATTAAATATGTGTGATTATTTGCTTAAAGAATCACACCACCAACAGGCATTCTATGAGCTTCCTAAGGTTATGAGCCATATCTGCCTTTTTCCTTCTCAAACCCATTTTTAGTGCCTGACACACAATAGGTACTCAACAAACTTGAGTGATTAATTTGCACATGTATATCCTCAAGGGGTTGAAGGGTTTTCTTAGAGTTCATTGGTCTGAGTTGGAGGAGCCTGTTGTTTGAGTCTGGGTTCTCCCTAACACCCTCTCCACTCACTTGAATTCACTTCTCTTGAATTCAGTTTGATTTCATAAACACTTAGGTGGCCTGAGGCAATTCACTTGTAATCCTCAAGATTACAATTTTCTTTCCTGACATCTGTGGCATTTTGGTCAACCTTTTAAAAATCTAAATTATGATTACTGCTGGCTTCAGCAACAAATTGTAAAACCACTAGGAATGGGGAAATGTGACAATAAACAAGCCATAGTCTCTTCCCTTAATGCAGGGAGATGTGTTAGGTCACAACTAACTATAAAAGAAGGTAGTGAGGCTGGGCATGGTGGCTCACCTGTAATCCTAGCACTTTGGGAGGCCCAGGCGGGAGGATCTCTTAAGCTCAGGAGTTCGAGACCAGCCTCAGCAAGAGCAAGACCCCCGTCTCTACTAAAAATAGAAAGAAATTAGCCAGGTAACCAAAAATATAGAAAAAATTAGCTGGGTGTGGTGGCGCATGCCTGTAGTCCAAAAAAAAAAAAAGGTAGTGGGAGATAAAGGGTAACAAAGCAGTGATGAGAGTGGTGAGTGGAGAAGTGGCAGAAGCTAGTATTGGAGGCTAGCCTTAAAGGGTACATAGGATTTTTTTTCCCCCATTCATTTTTTTTTTGTGGTAAACTACACATAAAATTTACCATCTTAACCATTTTTAAGTGTACAGTTCACTGGTATTAAATACATTCATAATGTTGTAGAACCATCACTACCATCTATCACCGTGACTCTTTTCATCTTATAAAACAAACTCTGTACCAATTAAACAGCCCTTTGCCGCCACCATTCCACTTTACCTCTGATTTTGACTACTCTAAGTACTTCATGTAAATGGAATCATACAGTATTTGTCTTTTTGTGACTGGCTTATTTCACAAGCCAGTGAAATATGTTCACAATGTTTGTCCATATTCTGACATATGTCAGAATTTCCTTCTTTTTAAGGCGAAATCCCTCGATCTTTTTGATTATTGCTGTTGCTGTTACAGAAGTAATACACAGTAATTATTCAAAGTTTGGAAAATCCAGAAAATATAATGGGAATAAAAATCACCCTCAGTTGCAACTCACAGATGTAACCAGTTTTATAATATTATATACTATACAGTTTTATAAAACACTTAAAATTAAAAAAAATGTAGCTAGAGACTATAGTTCAAAGACTGATTCCAACACCACTAGCCACTCAAAGTTTCACTTCCTATGTGTATAAAATGGACACTAATGAATAATATATCATAATGAGAGAGTAACATATAAAAAGGAATAGATGTGAGAAAAGCACCAGACAAGTATTGTGGTTTAACTGGCTAGATTTGGCCTGGAACTTCGGGTAGAGCCTTTTGAGGGTTTTGAGCAGAGTGGGCACATGGTCACAACTGTGTTTTTGAAAGTTTCCTCTGGCAGCAGTGTGTGGGTTGTATTGGAACAAGTTAAGACTGAAAGCTGAAATCAGTAATGAGGCTAATGCAGTCATGCAGGTGAGAGGTAATAAGGGCCTGGGCTGGGTCAGTGGGAACAGAGAAACAGGGAGTCATATATGAGAAATAGGGAGTCACGAGTAAAGGTTGGAATCTATAAGGTTTCGTGATTGATTGCATGTGGCTAGCAAAAGCAAAAGAGATATCAAAGTCCAAAGTTTTAACTTGGATTAGTAAATCCACTTCTATCTTCATTGTAACCACCTTACTGTAGGCCACTATCATTTCTGGTCTGGGTTACAGCAACAACTTCATTCTTTTCCCTCCAATCAATTATCCTTACAGTGATTGGATTGACTTTTTTTCATGGATTCATCTTAAAGTATGAATTGGATCAAATTACCCCGTTCATAATTCAATTGCTTCCCAAAACCTCTAACACTCCTTACAGTGGCTTTTAAGGCTCTTACTGCTCTGGCCCCCTTCTACTACTCCAATCTGTCTCATACCACTCTGCTCACCACAGCAAGATCATTCCTGCCCCTGGGCATTTGTAGGTGCTGTTCCTATGCCTGGGGCCTTTGTTCTCCCCTTCTTTTCTTTGTGTAGCTAGCTTTCTCATCCTTTGGATTATAGTTTAAATGTCACCTCCTGTCCTAACCATCCTATCCAAAGTAGCCTCCTGCTTCTTATTCTCTATCTCAGCACTGATTCCTCAATATCTCTTACCAAATTTGAAACTTAAAAATATGTATTTCTTAGCTGGGCACGGTGGCTCACGCCTGTAATCCTAGCACTCTGGGAGGCAGAGGCAGGCAGATTGTTTGAGCTCAGGAGTTCAAGAACAGCCTGAGCAAGAAGCTTGTGGCTTGGTATGGGAGGAGGGTACTTGTGATGTATTAATAGCTTCGGAGCTGCTGACTTTAGATACAAACAGATGTCCTATCAGAGGCAAATGAGGCCAAAAGAATTGTTCTTAAAATGCAGCCACAAGAGAGTTTCAGTGAATGAAACTGTTGTTTGTGTAAACCTGTTTGTAATTGAAACTGTTTGAAATAGAAATAGATCAATTTTTTTAAAGAACAATTGAAGGACCTAAAACAATTTCCTCCTTCCTGAAAAGTAAACTGAATTGATCCTATTTATCACCTGACAATGAGCAAGCAGGCAAAGGGGGCCCTGGTGTGAGCCTAAGTCCACTTCTGCACATCAGCAAATTTTATTAGGAATGCTATCTCCCTCCAAAATAAATAATCAAATGTAATAGAATATTCTTTGTATAGTAGTTATCTCCTTACTGAAGTAGTTTCTTGTCACTTATTTTGTTGTTTACAATTTCGTTAAGTAGGGTTGAAGGCTCTGAAAATAATGTGCAGAAAATCTTGTAATGGACATATGAATTGTGTATATGTGGCAGAAGGGTCCTGTTCTGGAAAAGATTAAAAAAAAAGTAGAATATATTATTGACATCAGTTTAGAAAAGTATATGGTAGTGTAGAGTACATATAGGTAAATACTTAATATGAAAATTACTTAACTGTTTTTATATGTTGTCTCACCTCAATTACTTAAGCATTTGATCTCAATATTTTAAAGCTGACTACATTGAAAGTGTAAAAAAAATTTGAAAGACTTAACCATAGGATTTGTTTGTTTTTTGAGACAGAGCCCTCTTCTGTTGCTAGCATGCCAAGAGTGCGGTGGCATCAGCATAGCTCACTGCAACCTCAAACTCCTGGGCTCAAGTGATCCTCCTGCCTCAGCTTCCCAAGTAGCTGGGATTACAGGCACATACCACCATGCCCTGCTAATTTTTTTTATTTTTGGTAGAAACAGGTTCTCCTAGGACTCCCAAAGTGCTATGATTTACAGGCTTAAGCCACTGTGCCTGGCCCTGGAGGGGATAATAGCAATAGGGAAACTTAGGGGTAGAATAAATTTTAGAAAAAGTATTGTTTACTTATTAGCAAATTATTTATGTTCATTTAACCTCATTTAACCAATTAGATTATTTGCTTTTTAAAATCTCTGAACACAAAGATATTGCTTAAACAGAACAAAGTTCAAAGAAAGCTTGATTTAACCAAATCAAACCACTGTGCCAACGTCAACAACCAAGATAATTCAAATGGAGTTGCAAAAAAAAAAAAAAAGAATTAAACTAATGTAAGTATGAGACCAGGCCTAAGCATTTGCTTCTTTGAAGAATGACCCTGATTTTCTGTCTGATCTTAGGAAGGTTCAAGTTCTCTCCAAGGTCTATTTTCTCTTTAAAACATTGAGAAGCTTGTGTTTGTGTATCTTTTTATGTGTTTTTGGATATATGATTTAGGATTTTGTTATAGTGGCTCTAAGCTGAAAACAATTTCACCCAAACTATCATCTTC